ACTCCTCCTCCCCATAGGAGGGGTCACCTTCGTGTTGCACGTACTGCCTGCCCTTTCACCCGGGTGAGAAGGAAAATTGGACGCTGGTTACGCTGCAGTTTTGGCAACCTCAGACATTCAGGGAAGAGGAACAGTGGCCACTGCTGGGCGAAAGTGCAAGACCCTGATGGGTGGGCCCTAGAAGTTCCTCCAGTTGGTGTCTGGGAGGCAGGAGGCAGCTGTGTTGATTCCTGAGAGAGGAGGAACCACAGACCACTTGGGTGAGCTGGAAGGTGACCTGGAAGGAGACATAGAGACCCTCAGTTCCCAGCACAGAATGGGCATGGTGTTGGGAATGGCCATTTTTCCTCCACTTTGGGCAAGAGTAGAGGGAGGTGACACTGAGTTCCCTCCACACCCTGCGGCTGACAATGGTGGGAAATGGCTAGTTAGCAGTGAGGTACTGCCATGCAGCCTACCTTCGCTGCCCCAGCCCCTATCCTTCCCACGCATGGACAGGGCAGCCTGATCACTGAACTTGGAGCAGCCAGGCTGGAGCCAGAGCTAAGTGGCCAGTGGGATGGCTGAGTTTCTGAGGGACAGTTCGTAGGGCAAAAAGAAAAGTGCTTTGTCTGGACACTGTCCTGAGTGTGGCTGAAGTGTAACCAATTCCTCTGACTTATTTCTCCTGAAGACAAACTCAATTTCTCTCTTATAGTTTTGTAATTTCCCAAAGAGCTTTCAGCTGCCTCAACAGTACATCTCAAAGGAAAGGGCTTGAAATTTCACCACGGATTCCAACTCCTGCTAAAGAGCAGCGTGAGAGAAGTAGCCTGGTGTCCTCTGAGCATGGAACATGTTCCCCGCAGAGGGAAGCACCACAGGAAGCAGGAGAGCAGGAGAAGGAGAGGGAGGGAGGCTGCAGACCCAGCCCCGACACCTCCACCCGGTCCTCCCTGGCCTGTTCCACATGCACCTCCTTTTATTTGAAGCTATCACATTCTTTTTTTTTTTTTTTTTTTGAGACAGTCTCGCTCTGTTGCCCAGGATAGAGCATAGTGGCATCATCCCATCTCACAACCTCAAACTGCTGGGCTTGTGATCCTCCTGCCTCAGCCTCCCAAGCAGCTGGGACTAGAGGCCTATGCCACCATGCCTGACTGGTTTTTCTATTTTTTTGTAGGGATGAGGGTCTCATTATATTACTGAGGTGTGGACCACTGTGCCCATTCTAAAAGGAACTCTAAGTAGCTTCAGGAAGTTGGCTTCATATTCCTATGGGTACCCAGCAACTCCGATGTGCAGGAAACTCGATCCACACCCATTTGCTCCTTTGTGATGTCTGGCTGAGTAACGAGCCTGTGAGCCATATGTTCACTCTTCTCAAAATTCAGTAAAATGTACTCAAATCTCCTATAAAGCGGATGAGCTCACCTGGTGAGGGGTAAGGGAGGCCCATTCTAATACCTCTTTTTGTGGAAGATAAGTAAGTGTAAGTAGCTCACAGCTCATTACAGCCAAATTATTGCTAAACACCACAGTCAAAAGCTGGGAATATACTAGGTATTTTCATTAACATGACCCAGAAATCTTGAATTCTATTTCAGGATTGGTTTTTGCCTGTGGAATCCAGAAATCATTTTAACTTCTCAGTGCTCCAGTTTTCTTCTGAAAGAATGGGAGGCAAAAGGTATCCACTTCACAATGGAGTTAAGAGATTTAGCTGTGGTATCCTAGTACCCCTGGAAAACTGCAACGTGTTCTCCATGAGGCAGACAGTTCTCTTCTACCCTAAGTTTCTGGGGCTAGAAGAGCTACATCGATTCCCTCTTCTTTGAAAAAGACCAAGAGAGTAGTTCTGTAAGTGTACACATGTACGACACTGTTCACAGATAGACTCCCGTCCCCTGCCCGCCTCCACGGTCACAAGGAACTTCAGGGGAGAGGAGGCGGCTCACTGAGCACTTCTTAGTAATAATTAACAGTTATATGAGCACTCATAGTTGAATTCTTAAGAGCTGGTTTTAAGTTTCCTACAAAGTCACAAAGATGATGTTAATATACTTAGCACTTTTGCTCCACAGGCGCTAAGATGCACTCTGAGGGCCTCTTTGAAAAAGACAAGAAAAAGCAAAAACAAACTCAAACCAACTCTATCAAAAAGCACAATCTCTGGCCTCTCAAAATGGGTAACACAATGACAAGAATCTTAGGGTCTCAAGTCACTGTAGGCAGTTACCCAGGGACCAAGGAAGCAACTGGAGGGCCAGTAGCTCATGCCAACATAGTGAGGTGATTTTTTTCTCAAAAGATTCAAGACTCACATCTGATTTCTGCACACGACTTTTTTGATCTGTAAAATTTTATTAAGCAATAGCTGGACAACTCTTACAACTTCAAATCATCAAAAAAAATAATATTAATCCATCTCAATAATAAAGACAGAAAATAATTTGGACAAACCACAACATTTTGAATGCAAACCACTAATGCCTTCTAGAAGCCTCCTGCACAATCTAATACACAAAATACATAAGAGGGGCAAATAAGGGAAAGCTTATTAAAATGCAATTGGGAATCTCAACAGATCTTGCTTGGAAAGTAAAATAAAGCAGGATGCTGAATTAAAAAAACAAATATTAGAGAAACTGAGGTGCACAGAGCAGTGCCCGCCATTCTGCAGGTTTGGACAAGAACATGCTGGTGGTCTTGTTTGGTTTGGAATCTATGCACCTGCATTGGCCACTTAAGGTAAAAAAATAAAAAGAAAAAGGAAAAAGAAAATGCCAATAGTAGTAAATTCAGAAATCATGTCCAAATTTACAGTACCAAAATAATGCATTTATTAAAAAAATGCAAAAACAATACCCCTTTGGTAAATAATACAGTGCCTTTTTCAGTCAAACGTATAACTCATGCTTTACTACAACACGAAAAAAAATTTTATCTACAATAAGTAATGAGATCTTAGGACCCTATCCCTCCCCTTAGAAAGAACTGTAAACAGAAAATGTAGATACAAAGTACAAGGAAATTGCACAAAGCCAAAGAAAATGAAAATGAAATAAGCCATAACCCTTCATGGTTTTATCAGTCGGAGATAAGGAAATATACAAATGGGGAAGAGTTTTGAGTTATGTGCTACTACCAAAATCTCAGCAACTCCAATGAGTTTTGACACATTTTGTCTCAACTTTGTTCCCAACCGTTGACTTGGCCAAGTGATACACGGTCCACACAGGGATGTCTGGATTCCTTTGTCAGGGTTGCTGAGAGCAAACTTTCCATTTTGAGAAACCCTGTGAATGTGAAGATGGAGTAACGCTGCAGTGCACACACAATCACTCGAGTCAAACGAGATATGTATTCCCTTGTTCTTTTCTGAACTCACTTGGTTTGGGGGGAAGGCGGTGACTTATTTTAGGCTGCTCTCATGGACAGCACCTGAGCAGGACACATACAGACCATCCTGTCTAACTTGAACTCAGTAGCTTTGGTGCAATCCTATGAAGACAAACCGGATTCCAAAATGCATTTTGAGGAGAATTTTCTAAAGTTATTCAGTGGACAGCTCATTAACACAGGACTAGAAATGCTTCTCTACACAAAGGCAATGTTTTGAAGCGGTCCATTTTGAGCTGAGGCTGTTACAGCTGCATTTAGATTGTCCAATCTGCTTACAGACAGACAAATGGAGGCCTGGCCAGCCCTAGGGACTTGCCCAAGGTCACCCTCCAGCTTTGTGGCAAAGCAGGCTTGACCCAGGGGTCTCCTAATTTTCTGTTGTGATTAGAAGCTGAATGTGCCATGCTTTTCTGGGACCTCATGGGACTGACACCTGAAGTGGGGGCTACGGCCACGGTAAAAACGCACCCGCACAAGTCCTCTGACTTACACTGCACTACAGCCCCGAGAGCTCCCTGCTTCTTTGGCCCCGAGTCTTCTCAGGATGTACATTCAATGGGTATAATGTACACAAACATGTGCCTTTGGTTTGATGAGGTTAGAGAAAAAATTCAGAATTGGTTTTTGTGTTTAATATATCACTTCTTTCAGAAAGTCATGGATTCTTTTTCTAGTTGACTTTTTACTGGACTAATATTTCTAAATTTAAGGATTCAATGACATATCTTGACACTCATAAATTGGTATTAATAAACATGCAGTACTTAGAATTCTGCTGCTTTACAGTTCTAACCAACAGAAACTGAAGAAAAGTGACAGAACTACCTCTGATAAGCTACCGTATCACCACTGCACAGCCATCGGCTGGTCTGACTTGGCGTGTGAGAACAACTCATCCTTCCGGCCCCAGGTGCACACACACAGGACAGCCCATAGCCGATCAGGATGCCTGTGTCTCTACGGGGGGTGGAGTGGGGTGGGGTGGACATCTTGGGGAGTAAGCTAACAATCCAGAAAGTTAATTGTTACAAATAACCACTTTTTCTTCTCACATGTATTTGCAGCTTTCATTCCCAGGGTTTCTCCCTGTCTGCTCTTAGTAAGGAAAGTTCTGACATATAACCTTCGGGGGCTTCCTGTCTCAGGATTTAGGAGGTGAAGTGTACTATGACTAGTCCTTTCCTTTACTACTCTGATTCTCATAGATCCCCCCGCCTCATTTCTTGTCAACCTTTACTTTTAATTAAAAATGAAATTTTAAAAAGGGAAAATATTATTTTAGGGTATATTGTCTCAAAGAAATATTCTTTGTATATAATTAATACCACAAAATATGAAAAAATAATTTTTAAATGAATAGAAACTTTTTTTCCCAATTAGAAAAACTTACAAATCGTCCAGCAAAAAAAAAAAAAAAATCCTTCTATCATATCCTCTTTATTTCCTGCAGCAAAATGTACTGCTACCAAGTAAGTCATTACAAAGATACTATTTTTCTAAATAAATAATAAAATAAGCATAACTCACCAATACATAGTAACAAAATAATTCCTAAGAACACTATGAAAAGCAAGATAAATAATTATCTTGTAGACAATAAAACAGGAGAACTGCATTTAAGTTATTTTAGAAATAGGCTATAACTGTTATTGCACAACTAATAATAAGCATTGAAACACTGTATCAAGAAACAGAAATTCATATAAAAGAACTAGATAATTCTGAATATGCTGCTAAATTCTTCCTAGAAGAATGTACCCACCAAAAAATCAGGTCCAATACTTTTAAATACAAAATGGGAAACTCAGGTGTTAGCTGGGAGGTGTCCTTCACCATATTTAAAAACCTGGTCAGTACTCCTTTGGGGTTTGAGAGAGAATAGTGAGTAATATCATCTTACTTTGGGAAAGAAATGGCCTAGTTTCTTTTCTAACTTTTAAGCCAAAACAAGTTTAACTATAACTTTTGCATTGAAAATACTTTTGCATAGTATTTTCCACTTGTCTGTTTTCAAATAAAATCCAAATTTAGGACCCCAAATCAGGAGACAGTTCTTTTGGCCCTGTCCTAAACACCACCACAGTATGAGTAACTGAGACACCAACTGGGCTTGTCATTAGGACACAAATACTGACTGGTGTTCTCAGGAGGTGGGAACAGATATATGCCAGGTAGCCGTGTTTAGTGTGGTCAGCCAAGTACCTAAGTGTTAAAATGTTACAATGTCTTCTCAGTGGTTTATCTCCTCAAAAATAGTCTGTATACTTTTTTTTCTCCTTAGAGAAGACCATGGAACTTTTGTCAAAGATTTGACTATGCTCCTGTCTTTTAATGTGCTGGCAAATATTTGACATTTTTGGGTTACATTTCTAATCTGATTGAGAACTTTAATGTAGCCAAGAGGAAGAAAGGAGTGGTTTCAAATCAAGTCTTGTACATACTTTCAAAAGGGGAAAGTACAGAACAGTGGTATCTGATGGGAAAGGTGGTGTTTACAGAGACACGTTCCAGATTAAAAACTAAAAGAGGCAGAGAGAATAGAGGCTACTGGGGATCTAGTGATACCACCACACGATCTGAGGAAACTGCTCCCCCCACCACGGGCCAGCATCTTTCCATTTTAGGCTCTTAGTTTCTCTAAAGGTCCATCATGCCGAATGATTGTAACTGATGAAACTAGTGGAATCCCTCAATGTTAACATCCTCAGGAGACCAGTGTAGCCTGAGTCACCTAGCTGTCTGCGGTATGAGCCTGCCCCTCAGTGTTCCCTTCCTCACTCGTCATCTCTTCCCCAACTTCACGAATGAGCAAGTCACACTGACTCCTGGTGCGGGCACTCAGTTAATCAGTGCACTTGCCTAAACATCCTTTGTTAATCTTATCACCTTTTAGGGAGTAACAAAATATATGAATTCAATAGTGTCCCTCCCTCCAAGAGAGCCTGTATCTTCAGGATTTTTGGTTATGATTTTTTAAAGTTTGTTTGATTTTATCTTAGTAGTGATGGAGGAGTAAGGAAAGCTAGATGTCGTGGAGAGCACACAATGCGCATGTCCTCCGTCCAGGAGAACAGCAGGCTATAAGGCGGTCTCTGCATCCTGAAGGGCCCTTGTGTCAGTCACTGACAAACGCAGGAGAACATTACCATAGCCAAGCTACACTTCCTGCAAGAACACCAGATGCCTTGCAACCTTTGCTTCCAAATGCCACTCTACTGAAACAAGAAAAGAAAGACAGACAATGAAGTATAATAAAGCCCAAATAAATGACAACAGAAGATCAGTGTCCCCTCCTGGAACTTTTAGGCGTTTCCAATTTGCTGCTGTCTTCTGGACCCCCAGGCACTGCCCCATGTGGCTCTCCTTCAGAAAGCCCCTTGGCACCTCTCTCCTCCTCATACTGGTCTCTTCACTTGAGGCGCTGAGTCACGTTGGCCAGGGCAACTGCAAAGGCCTGCACGGCTGAGAAGGGGGCCTGGAAGTCTAGAATGTAGGCGTTGCCATCAATCCGTCCAAACTGCATCACCTGGCAGACCGTGGGGGGAAGCAAAGATGTTAAAGGAGACCACGGTGGGAAAGGGGAAAGCAAGTCTGCACAGCTGGTGATGGAAGCAGACAGCAGCAGTCTATAAAACATTTTTGCCAACACAAGTGACTCCGAGTCTGATCACACTTCGAAGTCTAACTACAAGTTCATGGAAAATCAGGGGACAAGAAACACATCAAATAATGCAATGGGGAGACTGATAAAGATTGAAAATGTGGGGACTGCAGGTCAGATGAAGTGGTTTCTTCACTAGGGAAACAGAAAGGAAGCAGCACCAGAATGAAAGCCCCAGCCCAGCTGCCAAACACCACTGCCTGGGGAGGGACTCCCTGGCCGCTTTCCTACCACTCCCCGCCTCCTCACCTGCTTTACTGGTCATCTGACCACTCCCTGCAACAAGTCCCTGTTGGGTCTCACGTCACACCCTACCACACAGGCTGCACTTATCTGTCTCTGGCCCCCACCTGTGTAAACTGCAATGGCCCCTCCTTGTTTCCCTAGTTCCAGCCCTACAGCAGGGTTGACAAATGGCCTGTGAAGGACTGATATTAAGTATTTTAGGCTTTGTGGGTCATGATTACTCAACTCTGCTACTGTGGGATGAAAGCACCCATGCAGAGTACTTAAGTGAATGGGTGTGGCTGTTTTCCATTAAAATTTATTTACAAAAAGAGGCAGCAGCCCAGGCAGGTCCTACGGCCAGTTTGTTGACCTCTGGCTTAGAGTACTGCCAGGCGTACAGCAACTTGACCAATGTCTGTTGAGTGAATTAACACAAAAGTGAACTTAAGTATGAGGGGTGAAAAGAGCCTGCTGGGGTATCCATTCCAGGTCAGAGCAGGAAGAGCTGGCAAACTAGGAGATTAAACTTGGGACTCGGGGAGTGACCTAAACACATAGAGAAATACGTAAACAAATAAACAAAAACCCAGGCAATTAATATGTCTAGAGGAAAAAACACTACAAAAAAGGAAATGTAACAGACCACAATACATGGCTAAGCTAGGACTCTTGTTTACTAGCATCATGAGGTAACCGATGACCATGGACTGACCTGGGACTGCCAGGCTACAGGGGACCTGTGACAGGGCGGGGTGAGGAGAACTGGCCTTCATGTTCCCCAGAAAGAAGTCACTATATGACACTAAAAGCAGAAAAGTCGATGAATAGAGTACAAGCATGTTCTTTGTGAATATGACCACAGATACCAGAAAAAAAGAGTTGGATGCTCCCACCCCTGGTGGGAAGGGCAGCCAGCTTTCCTGTTAGGCCTCAGAGGATCATGACCTCAAACACTGGGGCGGTACAGTCCTTGGATTAAAGGTCAGAACAGGGCAGCATGGCCACACTGAAATCCTAACCCCAACAGGCTCCACCCAGAAGACACCAGTTGTCCTCCGTATTTCCCATTTGGCCTTCTGAAAAATGCTCCTTGAAGGTCAGGCCTGACAGCCTCCCTAGCCCTGTGGGGCTTACCTGCCGCCCCTCCAACTCGATTTGGAAATTCTTGGCTGACTCCTGGGTCACCCGCCCTCCAAAGTCCAGCTGGTACACCTGGGTGGCCTCATTCCACAGGGGCTGCTTGTTGGCCATCACGTACACAAAGCCTTGGCTGCCCAGCCGCCCGTCCTCCTTCTCACTGGCCCGGCGGCACCGGGACTCCTCCAGCTCACTGGTGGCCCGTGGGGTCCTCTTGCTCTTCCAGCCTTTTTTGCTGCCCTGGCTCTGGTTCATCAGCTCATCCCCGCTGATGAACAGCTCAGGCTCACTCTCGGAGCTGTCCTGGAACTCATTCGTCTTGTTCAACTTCTTGGACTTCAGCTGGTCTTTCTGACTCTTCACTTTCTTCTTCTCTCTGCCCAGGCGGGGGCTAGAGATAAGGGCGTTAAAGTCACTCAGAGTCCTCGCCTCCTTCTTCACTTTGCCTTCCGTGATGGCCTGCATGCTACCTTCCTCTGCTCGGCTGTCCAGGCGCTTCCGGTTCTTCTTTCCAAATTTTTCTGTCCTCTGGGGGACTGGGCTTTCTGTCAAGGAGAGGACTTCCTGGAAGTTGTCAGTGGTCTCTACCATCACTTCAGTGCCCATGTGGCTTTGGAGGTCTGGGGGTGGAGGGGACACCAGCGGCTTCTCCACCACCACATGTGGCTTAGGGGGGAGTGTACCCTGGGGGTTCTGCACAGGGGGGCAGGCGCTGTAGGAACTCCACGGGTGCAAGGCGACAGGTGGCAGCTGTAAACTGGAGCACGTGCTGCTTCCTGGGTACATGGGGGGCAAGGTGCAGTAGGAGAGGCTGGGTGGGTACACTGGCTGGAGGACGACAGCAGGCTCCTGTTGTGCAAACTGTGTTGGAGACAGGGCATCTTTGGGGGAGCAAGGAACCTGTGCTCCAGGCAGAGGGGGGTTGGTATAGCTTCCTGGATACGGCACTCCCATCCCATAGCCTGTCTGGAAAGTGGCAGTGGGGCTGGCGGGAGACTTGGGGGAGACAAAGGGCACTCGGGACATATCCAGGTGCTGGCCCTGACTGAGCATCAGAGGGGACAATTTTAAAGGGTTGGGCACTACAGTCTGCGCTGTCCTTTCTTGAGGAACCCAAATGTCCTCACCCAACATGGGGTCCCACTGGTAAGGGGGTGGCCGTTTCATGGTGACAGCGGCTTCAGGCAGTGGGGGGTGCCTCAGGGGCTTCTCAAGCTGACAGTGTTGGGCCAGAGCCTCGTCCTCCGTAAAGGCTGAATTGACATAGTCAGTGCGGTCACGGGCACTGTCGGGGGGGCTCAGGAGGCTGTAGGAGGACTGGGAGGTCAGCGGGGAGGTGCTGACAGCATGGGCCAGGGCAGCTCCAGGCTGTGAACCGGGCCCTGTGCCACTGCACTGGCTGCAGGTGTACAGGGCGGGTGGAGGCCGGGCCGGGAGCTGCGCTACTGCTCCCAGAGACCCACCCTTGGTCTTGGCAGGGGGCTGTAGGGGAGCTCTAGGGCTATCGGCCAGCTGGGCCATCTTGAGCGTGGCCTCTCGGTTGTTCCTCCGTAGGGTCGCATGGATAAGGCTGCTGTCGGGTCTCTGGGCAGCAGCTCGCCCCTGGGCCAGCTGGCTAGCAATTTCAGGATACGGGGGTGGGTCCCCGGGTGGGATGGAGTAGCGAGGGATGGTCAGGCGGTTCAGGGTGGCACTGGTGCAGGGCTGAGGGACCTTCTTCTCAGTGGCTGTGAGCCTCAAGGTGGCTGAGCTGCCTGGGCCAGGGAGGGTGTAGGTGTTCTGGGAGCAGAGCATCCTGGAGCGAGGCCGGCACACCTCCTCCACATTGCCGCTGCTGTCAAAGGTGGTGATCCTCTCATAGCCTAGGGGCGTTTGGTAGTGCGCTGACGTGGGGCAGAGGGAGAAGTCGCTCTTCTTCAAGCACACATCCACAGGGGGCTGTGGGGGCGGCAGAGGGGGTGGGGGTGCTGCTGTAGTGGGGGCAGCGGGGATGGTTCCTGGGTATGGGGGTGGAGGGTTCATCTTTGTCACCTGGACTTCCTGGGGGGCACTAAAGACCACAGCATCCCCTTCAGCCGCCAGCTGTGGTGCGGGCCTCAGGGTCTTGCCTGACTTTGGTAGGTGCTCGTGGTCGCGGTCTCCATGGCTTGCCACAGGCATCTGCACTGGCCCCTGGGGTGGCGGTGGCAGGGACAGGTGAGGAGGGTTTGGAACCATTCGGCCCATTTCCACGCCTCCAAAAATCACCTGGCCAGGGTTGCAGTACCGACTGGGGACTGGGTACTGGGTGGCACCATCACCCACATGCTCTGCTGCCCCTGCGGCTGTCGTGGGGTTGCTCAGGACGTCTAGTTGCACATTCTGATTGGCCAGCAGGGACTGCACCAGCCCTATGCTCTGTGTGGGGGACATAGCCTGAGCCGAGCTGTGGATCGGTGCAATAGGGATGTTCACGGTGCAAGGCGGGTTGCTCTCAGGGACACCAGACGCTCCTGTCACTGAAAGGAATTAGAGAAAGGAACTGCTTGTGAGAGGCTGCCACAAACTAGATGAGGAGAAATAGTATCTGGATTCACTGGTCCTTTTGCGTACAAAATACAATTGCTGGAGACTAAGTCATGTCCGCAGGAGACAGGTGGACTGTCACAAAGTTAGGGGTTCTGCAGGGCAGCCTGCCAGATGCTGGCAGCTGACTAAGGAGCTGTCAGAGTTTTTCTTTTTTTTTCTTTTGAACCTTCGGAATTTGCAACCATGTACCTCAATGGCACCACCACAAATCATTAACTATTTAAAGAAGCTTTTTACTGATGATATTCATAATACGCCCAGCCTTTTATGCAGGAAGAGGGCAACAGTGCAGCATGACACCCCATTGAGGATTCACCACGCCTGTGCCCGATTCAGCTCAGCCTTGACTGTGAGTTAGTGTGGGAAGTGTCACACAACAGATGTGTATATAAAACGTGTATATAAATTAAGTTTCTCTAAATAGAACCACATAAAACGTAGTAGAGAAACCAATGAAAAGAATCTTCCAGCAAATCTGACTATTAGGTAAAGAATCATTTCCTAATTTATCTGCTTTTCAGCATTTCAAATAGTAAGGGTAGTGCCACACAGAGCAAAGCCCTGTAAACACAGCCTATTTGTACTGAGGGGTCCGGCACGGTGCACCCTAACAGTGGGCTGCTCATAGGTGCTCAAAGCACAGCCAGTACTGCCCAACGTCAGGCACCCACTGTGCACCTGGTGCTTTGGCTCCTCTGGGCACTGCCGAGTCACACTGTGGCTCCTCCTTCCGAGAAAACCACCACCAATCCAGAAGCCGGAAGCATAGTGCTAAGAATTACGTGGCAGCTAGGACACAGGAAATATGATTTAATGGGTTAAATGTAAAGGCTGGTTGGCCTTCTACTAAAATCACTATGGAAAAAAGCCAACTAGTGTATGGAAAGTTTCCCCTTGCCTTTGGCGCCTGTAACTGGTCCTCTCTCTTTTACTGGGGTTCTCTAGCAAGACATAACTATTCTCCATTGCACAAATCTTGGTCCTGGCTCAGATCCCTCTTCTGCCTGTCCTCTTACGTGTGTGAACACTGACAGCAGGTATCTTCCCCTTTTCAGGAGAAAAGTTTCCCTGTTGCATCACCAACACAAAATGTAAGCCCTGAGACAATAAGTTCCCTCCTCTCACTGGGAACCACAGACTGACAGTGGCAGCAGCAGGAGAACACCAGGAGAGAGAGCTGTGTTGGTCACATTCAGAGAGGACAGGGAAGGCCAAAAAAAGTGTAAAGTTCTAAACATTCTGAATTCAAGTTTCTGAATAGCAGAGGATGTGCTATAAAACCCAGGTAGGTGGGCCTTCACCAAGTTGTAGGCACTTACGTGGCGCATAACCTTGCCTTTTAGGATGGCTTGGGTCTAGAACATTTCCTCCACCACCAGAGAAGCAAATGTGGCTGCTGTTGGCAAGTACAGCAATCATCTTTCAGGTAAGAAATCTGACCTGAGAGAAGGTAAACAACTCCTTCAAGTTCAAAGCAAAAGTGAGGAGCACAGCCCAAGTTGGAATGTGCTTCCCTCCATGTCCCATCTCAGGACCAGAGTCCTTCAGGTAATGGACATTCAGATGGGGGAGAAGTTGTGGCCCTGGGGTTCTGATGGATCAGAAACAGGGTACTCTAGAGCTTTGTCTGGAGGGGAGCAGAGGAGTCTCTGCACCTATACAATTCCAGGCAGACTGCTACTGAGAAAAACACACGATTTTCAAGTGCCCCTGAGTAACTGAAAATGATTATATGTAACTAATTGGCAACTAATTAGAAATCATTCTAATCTACCAATCAAAGTAGGGCTTTAAGACTCCCCCAACTGGGAAACACCTAAATTAACGTAAGATGATATAGATATTTACTATTTGTAAACTGGAACTTAAAAAACATGTATTAAATTTTATACCTTTAGCTCGGACCAAGAAACTACGCACAGAGGAAGTGTGGTGTTTAAATGCAAAGGCTTTGCATCCTGGCGACAGTGCAGATTGGAGAACAGCAGAGTGAGGTACTCTCTGAGCAGGGACTGACAGGATAAAGGCTGGCCTGGACCAACAGGGCTGGGCTTCAAGCTCTGATTTTATTCAGTCCTGACTGTTTCTGCTAACTTGTCTTTCTGTGGCCATTATGACTGAGGGTATTACTGCAAGGACACGGGGGATGTTAAAAGTGCTCTATGAGTGTGAGGCACCTGCCACCTTAGCCATCATGCTCTGGTAGCTTCTCTGCTCCCCCAATTGGTGCCAATTCGTGACCTTTCTCCTGGTATGTGCCACAGCATCTGTAAGCCTCACTGAGGTGGGTGGGAATTTTCTAAACCCAGGTAGCAGGCTATAGTCCTCAACCACTTCCCACTCTGTCCCTCTTGCACAGTCTACAAGGTTATGATAGACAAGTTCATGTATGTGAACATACCTGGTAAGTCATCTTCATCTTCACTGAAAACATTTGGGTTGAAGACAGGTAAATTAATATAGTCCATGGAAATCTTTCGAACTTCTGGGAGATAAATGGTCATTTGCCGCGGCTGGAGATGCAGGAGGCTGGTTTTATAGATTACTGGTGGAGAGGAAGAAGGGCACAGTTAGCAGAGACATGCTGAGGACAGCCAAAGTGTCACAGAGTCACAGGAAGAGAAACAGAGGGCTGTGCTTCTCTTGCTATCCAAAGACAGACTTGCCTGGGTGGAGCCCAGTCTTGAGGATGGGGGGCAGCTCTGTTTCTCCCTAGCACTTAGTGTGGCCACTCCCGCCATAGGTCTGGGTTTAAGTGACAGAAAATTCCTGGTCTATCTAGCTCAACTACTTTGCCAATGGTTTATCTAAAAAACTATAAATTTGGCTCAGCGTCTGTGGCTCAAGTGGCTAAGGTTCCAGCCACATACACCCAAGGTGGCGGGTTCGAATCCAGCCCGGCCCACCAAACAACGATGGTTGCAACTAAAAAACAGCTGGGCGTTGTGGTGGGCGCCTGTGGTCCTAGCTACTTGGGAGGCTGAGGCAGGAGACTCACTTGAGCCTAGGAGTTGGAGGTTGCTGTGAGCTGTGATGCCACAGCACTCCACCCAGGGGGACAGCTTGAGGCTCTGTCTCAAAAAAACAAAACAAAACAAAACAAAAACTATAAATTTTGAATATTAAAAACATGTCTTAGACTTAAATCCTTTTTTGGAATGAGCTAGAGTATAAAAAATATATTTTTAAAAAACACCACTTGTGATCAGATAGCTAATTTAGAGGAAACAGCTGTGATAACCAAAGTGTCACACTTAGCAGAACCTTGGGCGGATGCTATCTGAAAGCCACTGTAAGGTGAGGGTGACATGGCATCATGCAGAAATAAGGCACTGCCTTTATTTAGGGCTGGATTACTGTTCCATGGACTTTCAGTTTCAATTTAATGATCAGAAAGCTGGGCGTGATGGCTCATGTATATTAATCCTAGCACTCTAGGAGGCTGAGGCAGGTGGATATCTTGAACTCAGGAGTTCAATATCAACCTAAGCAAGAGAAAGATTCTGTCTCTACTAAAAATAGAAAAACTAGCTGGGCATTGTGGCCGGTGCCTATAGTCCCAGCTACTCAAGAGACTGAGGCAGAATGATCATTCGAACCCAAGAATATGAAGTTGTTGTGAGTTAGGCTGATGCCATGGCACTCTAGCTTGGCAAGAGATGAGGCTCTGTCTAAAAAAAAAAAAAAAAAAATTTTTTTTATGATCAGGATACAGTTTACAGGGAACTTCCATGTAATATTTTTAGACTCAGAGATTTAATTTGATTAACAGAGACATTTAGGAGAAGGCCTAGGTTGCAACTAAAATGTTTGGATGAGACAAAATAAAAATAATGAATCTGAATTTAAGTTTCACAGTAGGTTAAAATCAGTTTCCTTTCCCTTGTCATGGGCAGAATGTTTATCTGGTACTGAGGAATAAAATGTATCAACATTTACCACTAAGAACTCTGCTAAGAGCCTCCTTTGTAGTCTTTGACGTCTTCCTCTCTGCTTTCTCTGGAGGAGTTTCTTTTGACTCAAGAACCCACACATACCAAAATCTGCCCATAGGAAAGGCCTAGAGGTCAAAATGTCTAGAAATCTCTGAGAGCTTTGATAGAGATTTTGGTTACTTCTAGATTTCTCTTGTTTTTTAAAGTCAAGGCTTATATAGAAAAAATGAAAATGGCTCAGAGCCTGTGGCTCAAGTGGCTAAGGCGCCAGCCACATACACCTGAGGTGGCAGGTTCGAATCCAGCCCTGGCCCGCCAAACAACAATGATGGCTGCAACCAAAAAATAGCTGGGCATTTGTGATGGGCGCCTGTGGTCCCAGCTACTTGGGAGGCTGAGGCAGGAGACTCGCTTGAGCCCAGGAGTTGGAGGTTGCTGTGAGCTGTGATGCCATGG